GTGTGTGTGTGTGTGTGTGTGTGTGTGTGTGTGTCGGCGGGGGGCATCACTCACCATCCACACTGGGGGAGAACTGCAGCAGCTTGTCTTTCCTGTGGGGGTGGGGGAGTGGCTACAGGAGATGCCAGGGAGACAAACCCGAGAGCTTCTAGGAGTCTAAAGACCCCAGCCCTCCCCGCACAGCCTCCCCGTGGGGCTCCAGGTAGGAGAGGAGGGTGGTCACGGGGTTGAGATGGGGACCCTCTTCCTCCCCTCCCGCCGTGGGCAGGTAGCTCACGCCTACCTTGTCTGTGCCTTGTCCTGCAGGGACCCTGGCCATGACTGCCTGACCACTGCAAGGGCCAGAGGGGTTTCAGCCAGTCTGTAGCCCACCCAGCGGGTGCTGCCCCTCCTGATCCGGCCCATCGCCGTGGGGCGATGGGGACAGAAGGGACCCACAGGAAGACCCCCCTCAATCCCTTTGAGGACTCACGGGAATAGTTCCGGTCTTCTGAAAAGTTCTGCTGATCTTCCTGTCTGGAAATCCAGAGGACTGTGCTGAGCTAGGGCCACGCTCAGCCAGAAGACAGAGGGTCAAGAGGGATGCACAGACAGGGGAGGGGTAGGCAATTCTCTGGGCCCCCATCCCCCAGCTCGTTCACCTGGCCCTCTGGCTGGGAGTCTCGGGTCAGTTGGGAGGGGTCTGGGGGCAGGGTTAGGTGGCAGCCCTGAGGTTCAGGGCATGAAGGCAGCCAAAGAGATCTCAGCCTGGCCCCCTGCTCAGGGACCCAGCTGTGACAGGAAGGTGACCACCCCCAAACCCCACCGCCCCCAGGACATGTGTGGCACTGTCAAAGGGGCCCGCCTGCCTTGGGGTGTCCAGACCCCACATGTGCCCCCACAACCTTGAGGTGCCCCCTCAAGGACTCTCTCCCAACCTCCCATGCACAGACACGAGGCCCTGGATGTGCTCTGAACCATGACGTGGCACCGTGGGGCTTTGGGGAGAAACCTCGTCCTTCCCCTCCTTCCTGCTCACGGCCCCTGGCAGCTGGCCCAGAGGGACAAGTGGCCCCAAGGCCGTGCAGGGCTCAACCCTGGCCCCAGGGTCGGGCAGGGATGAGAAAATTCTATTTTTAAATCTTACTGTGGTTTTTCAGTTACAAAAGGAAATGAAAGAGAGACTGTTTGCGCCTGGGGGTGGGGGGCGGGGGTCCTGCCTGCCCGAGCGCACAGGAGTGGGTGTGCGAACTGCATGCATGGCTTGGGGGTGGGCGTGTGCAAAGAGACGTGTGTGCACACCAGTGAGTGTGTGCACTGGAGGTGGGCATGTGCACCAGTGAGCATGAGCATGTGGGGTGGGTGTGCAGGTGTCCTTATGAGCAGGCGTGCATCAGCGGGTACATGAGTGTGCATGAGTGAGTGTGCAAGTGTGTGTGTGGGGGTGCAGGCGTGCCTCTCCAAGGACACTGGGTGTCACTGCCCTGGGTGTCGGGCTCCAGCCTCCTGGGCCTGCAGTGCCCATCCCCACAGCTTACTCCCCCGCAGGGTCCCCGGCCTCAACGGGCCTGGACTCCACTCTGCCCTGCCCGCTCCGCCTGTGCCCTTGTCTCAGACCAGCCAGCTCTTCCAGCGCCTGCTCTCAAGACCCCTGGGCTCCTGGGCCCTACATGCCCCAGAAGTCCAGGTCCTCCTCTTGAGATCCCAGCCTCAAGTCTTAGAGACACGCCCATCCCCAGACACCACCCTGACCCCCGAGGGCAGGTGTCCAGTCCAGCCCCACTCAGCCCAGGCTGTCCTGCAAGGTTCTCACACGCCCTCCTGCCACGGGCTTCTCATCTGCTGGACCCTCACGGGCTTTTTGGTGGAGCGGGAGGAGGGGGGCCTATGAGGTGCTTCTGGGAACGAGGCCCAGACAGGGATCAGGGAGGCCGAGAGATGGAGAAGGGGCTGGTCCTGCCCAGGCCAACCTGAAGGCCCTCCACGGGGGGGTGGGGGGGTCCCTCCCTCCACGGCCCTGGGGTTGGCAGGGGCCTGGGCCACTCACAGACTCCTCTGCTCATAGATTTTCTGGCTTGTTCTCGTCTTCCCACCTGCAAGAACAGGCCCAGGGAAAGCAAGGGCTGGGGGTTAGGCATGGGCTCCGTGAAGGCCCAAACAAGCCCCCTGCCGAGGGTCGGGTCAATGCCACACGCAGCGACTGCGTGGGGAGGCAGAACTGCCTCTGGACTTCCCAGCTTTCTCCCAAGAAGCAGCTGGTGGGTTCAAACCGCCAACCTCTTGGATCACAGCCCCACTCGCAAACCACTATGCCACCAGGGCTCCTGCCCTCCCCAAGAGGGAGAACAGAAGAGAAGTCAAGGCGATTTGCAGGGAAGCTATTGGGGTGGGTTGGTGTTGGAAAGGAGTTTAACCTTGAATACCAAGTGAAACATAACCTCCACCCCCTGATTCCCGTGTGCATGCGCACGGGTGCACACACACACGCACATGTTAAAAAAGAACAGACCCAGGATAGCCAGGGTCTGGCACCTGAATGGCATTAAAGGCCCCCCTTTGCCCCCACCCCACCCTCTGCTGGCTTCTGCAGGCCCCTGGCTAAGCTGCCCAGTGCCATGGGCTACTGACAAAGAAGGCCCTGCAGGCTCACCCGGCCAGACACGTCCGATCCACCCAGCACCGCCCACCATCTGCAGGGGGACTTTTAGAACCGCCCCTCCTGCCACCTTGTCGCTCCTCGACTGCCCCTTCCAGGGCTCCCACTGATACCCCACCCCTCTCTGGGGTCTCTGCGGCCCCCTTACCTGGACCGGAGCAGCGCACACACAGCCCGGCCGCGGCTGCCAGCAGCAGCAGGAGCAGCGCCGCCCAGGTCCACAGCAGCTCCAGGTGGGGACTCATGTCGGCTCCCCGCAGCCCCCCTGCAGGGGTGCAGACGGGGTGAGATGGGGTCCTTTCGCACGGCCCTTCTGGCCGTAACTCCTCAGTGCATCTTACCACTCTGGACGCGAGGCCCGGGACTACCATCCCATGCTCCGTTACAGGATTAAGGTGCGATGTATCTTTCGACTCTGCTAGAGGCTGCTAACTTTGAGAGGTCAGGCGTTCGAACCCAACAGCGGGTCCGAGGGAGAAAGAGGAGGCCTTTAGAGTGACAGTCTTGGAAACAGGGTCTTCCACCCTGTCCTATGGGGCCAGCGGGTGTTGGAAGTGACTCAAAGGGCAGTGGGTTTTCTGGTTTACGAGAGGGCATGACTGAAATCACCGTCCTATGCTTTCCTTGAGGGCATGGCCTGCTGCAGGACAGACCCCCACAGCCATTCCTCTGGATGAGAGCCAGCTCAGCCAGAAAGCCCAGGGTCTTCAGAAGAGCCCCTTCCGGACCTCCATCCGAAGTGGTGGAGGCCGAGGCCAGAGGCACCGAAGACTACGGGACAGAGCAGAGGACAGAGCCGAGACCATGGGACGGTGAGCTGGCTGCGTGGTCCTCCGGGGCCAGGGGACCACGTGGCAGGGGCTAAACACTAGAGAGAGACTTGGTTGGCTGCTGGCCGAAGAGAGGCGTTGCGGTGGACCATGCTGGTTTACAGCAGTAGAGTGCCCAGGGCCGTGGGAGGAGCGACTGGTGTCAGAACACATAAGACGGGTGGGTGCCGGGTGGGAGAGACCTGTCTGACCTCTGCCTTGTGGAGGGGAGGTTGGAGAGGTCCCCCCTCCCCCACGCATGTGCAAGCAGCCAGGGCTTGCAGCCCCCTCCCCAAACCCCTCCGGAGGTCATGAGTGGTGACAGAAGAAGGCTGAGTTCTTTGGGGAGGGGCTTCCGGGGGGGCTCCTGGAAGGGAGTCCAGAGGGACTGGACTCGGGCCTGGGAGACGATGGGTGGTAGTGGACGGAGCCAGAGTTGAGGGAGGCAGACCTGGCGTTGCATCCGGTCTCCATTAGTGAACGGGGACAAGCCAGTCCCTCTGAGGGAACCCCGGGTGGCTCCGGAGGGTTAAGGGAGGACAGGTTTGGAGCCCGCATGCATGCATGCTGCTGTCTGGTGGGCCCAGCACATGCTCGTAACAACCGGCGGGCACGGGCTGTGTGGCTTTAGAAGCTTCCAGAACCTCTGCCTGGGAAGCTGGCCCCGGGGCTGTGGTAAGGACGCTGTGTCTCCCGAGTGCTCAGCCCTAGTCAGGGGCCAGCTGGAGGACCCACCTCTCCCTCCCACCCGTCGGCCTGGCCCCCCCAAGACCCTGTGAGTCAGTGGGAGAACAAGATGTCCCAGCCTTGCGGCCCGGGGTGGGGGTGGGGAGGAAGCCAGACCTACGTCACCCTGAGACCTCGCTGGAGGGTGGGTGCCGGGTAGGCCGGGTCCTTTGGCTCCCACCTCAGGCTCTGGGCGAGCAGGGAGTGGAGGCTGGGGACATTGGGTGAGCAGGCTCAGCTGCTGAGCCCTGGGCAGTGGTGACACTGGGTGGTCAGGTCTGTCAGGAGCCCCAGCAAGGAGGGAGCCAGGTGAGGTGCAGCTAGGCCAGACCCCGGCTGGCCACCGCCGCCACCGTGCCAGGTGTTCTCACTCTGGGGCCCCAGTGTCCGTGGGAGGGAAGGGCAGCTGGTGGCCAGTTGGAGCCAGGCCCTGGGGGCCCCACAACTAGTGTGAGCCACCCTGCCGGGAACCCCCTGGAGCCCCCCAGGGATACACCTCCTGGAGCTCCTTTGATGGGCAGAGGTCCAGGGCGGTCGAGAAGTTCAGAAAAGGCAAAACCCAAGCTCTCTGCCATCCATCCCCTCGGACTCACAGAAACCCTGTAAGAGAGGGTAGACTGCCCCTGTGGGTTTCCCCGACTGTGAGTCTACGGGAGTGGACAGCCTCATCTTTCGCCTGAAGAGCGGCTGGTGGGTTTGAACGGCCAACCTTGTACTAAGCAGCACACTGTATAACCCATGACCCCACCAGGACTTTTCTGAGAATGCAGGGGACCCCTTCAGTCCCCAGTCTTCAGACCATCCCTGGAGACCTCCCCAGACCAGCCACCTCCCCCTTCCAACACTCTGAGGGGTGACGGGCACCCAGTTGTACTGTGACCCAGAGTGCCGGCACTCTGCCCCATGGCAGGCCCACCCCAACCCTGGGCTCCTCGGCCTTTTTCTATGAGAAAAAGACTTCCCAAGAGAGGCCAACTCGGACCCATTCACGTGCTCACCCCTACACTGAGCTTCTGAGAGCAGGTGGGTGAGTGCTGTGGGGGGGAGGCAGCTCCCCAGGAGGGCCCCAAGGGGCAGGCAAGGCTGAGCGAGGAGGGGAAGGGAGGGGAGGGTCGGCCAAAATAGCACAGGGGAAGTGGGCAGTTTTCAGGCGAGCAGGTTTGCACAAGCGGCTGCAGACTGTCCTGGGGCTTGGGTGGGGCGCGCCGCCACATCCGAGCCTCCTGCCTGCCCGGAAGGGTCCTTGGGGGGAACTTCCTACTTCCTGTCCAATATCCCAGACCTGTTCATGCTGTGGATGGAGAAACTGAGGCCCAGTGAAGACCAGGGGCTGGTGGAACTAACGGAGGTGGGGGTGGGCATGCGGAGCTAGAGATGGCTCATGTCCTGAGAAAGCGTCCCCCTGCCCCCTCTCCCTGCGTCCCCAGCAGAGCTCTGTCCTGGGGCTCCTTGTTCTGCCTTGCCCCAGTGCCCTTGGCTCAGGGTGGCACCCAGGAGAGGGCTGCAGGGTGGAGGGTGCAGGGGTCTGGTGGGCCCTTATCCCTGGGCAGGGGGGAGGGCAGGCAGAGGGTGAAGGCCTTGGACACCCCTGGCCGCCTCCTTTATCAGCCTTGACCCCTAGAGCTCCCCAGACAGAAAGCGGGCATTCGAGAGGACAGCCAACGAAGCTGGCAGGTGGAGAGGGGCTGGGGGGCTGGGGGTGGGCGGGTGCCCAGGGAGTGGGGGCAGCAGGCTGCACAGGGAGTTTGCCTTCAGCCTCCATTTCACAGATGCAGAAACTGAGGCTCATGGCCTTGGGCCTGCTTATAGCCATTGCCCTGGCCTCTTGGCTGCCCCATGGCAGTCTCCACCCAAGGGCTCCCCGGGGCTGTGCCAGGCCACCACCAAGGGGCCCCCAACCCAACTCACTGCCCCCAAGTCTGTCCGACTCACGGGGACCCATGGGTTTCCGAGTCCGTAACTCCTTCCGGGAGCGGACAGCCTCATCTTTCTCCCAAAGGACAGCGGACGAGCTGACAGTACTGACCTTGTGGGTGGCAGTGCCTTGTGTAGCCCGCAACCCCACCAGAGCCCCCAAAGGGGGGCCTCTGAGCACCACAGGGTGCAGAGGGAGGGAGCTCTGGCATTCTTCCCTGCCACCCCACCCGACAGGGCCCCCAAGAGCTCCTGCCTGCTGCTCCAGCAGGGCCAGCCCTCCCCAGGGGTGGGCAGGGGTCAGCTCTAGGCGATCCCGGGAAAGACTTACCGGAGAGTCTGAGTGCCTCGCTCACAGCAGCCGCCCCATCCTGAGCCCACACACCTGCGGAGCCGAGGGCCACACGGGGCCACTGGCGGGGACACTGCCGGGCAGCAGCGGGAGAGCAGCGGGCTTCCTGTCAGCCCCTGAGTCATCCCTCACATCCGCTGCTCTGACGGACAGAGAGAGACAGGGGGGGGCGGGGGGGGGCACAGAGACGAGGGGAGAGAGGGAGACGGAGATGGGGGGCAAACTGAGAAAGGGAGAGATGGAGACAAAGAGGAACAGAGTCAGGCAGAGAGAGACAGAGGGAGGACGCAAACAGAGAGAGGGCGAGAGAGAAACAGAGTCAAGGAGACAGAGATACAGGAAGAGATTGGGGGAGAGAGAGACAGGAGGAAACAGGGGGAGAGAGAGAGAGATTGGGAGAGACAGAGAGAGGGAAAGAAGGTGAGAGAGAAACCGTGAGAGAGCTGGAGAGAGCGAGAGTAAGACAGAGAGACACGTACCCTAAAAACACCCACAGAGGAAGAGGGCCAGAGACACACACCGACAGCAAGAGACATAGAGGCAGGGAGAGAAGCAGAGAGACAGAGAGATATGCATGCACACAGACAGACCCACAGACCGACAGACACAGAGACAGCAGGAGACAGGCAGGGGACCAAGATTGCCCAAGAGACACAGAGGCCCACAGGCAGGCAGAGCCAGAGACGGGCAGTCCTGGGGAGTCAGACTCGCCCCCATGGTCCAGACTGGAAAAGTGGCGTCCGAGACACTGGGGAGGAGGGCGTGTGAAAAACCTGACCATCACTGCCAGCGGAGATGCCCAGCCCTGCCCGTGCCGCGCTTAGGAACACGGACGAGCTGCTTTAGAGGCAGCCGCCAAAACGAGACGCCCTGAGAACCAGGCCACGTGGAAAGTCCAGTCAAGGGAGTGCAGAGTGGTGATGCATTGGGCTGCAGTTCACAAGGTCGGCAGTTCGAAACCAGCAGCCCCTGCAGGGGAACGATAAGGTCTTCTGTTCCCTTCATAACGAGATGCCGTCTTGGAAACCCACAGGGGCAGTTCTATCCTGTCCTACAGGGTCTCTGTGAGTTGACATCAACTCCGTGGTGGTGTTTTCTGTTTATATTTTAAGTAACATGCCCCAGGCCGATAGGGACCTGCGGGGCACCCCAGGAAAGACCACCAGGGCCTCCAACCCCCAATGTCTGTAGTCTTTCCAAACCTCAGGTCCTGGCCCCAGGCCTGCTCAGGGTTTCTCTTTCAATCCTTCCCCGGTGGCTGAGACCAACCTTCCGCAGGCCCGGGGTGGGGCTGGGGCGGGCCAGGGAACCAACCCAAACCATGAACAGGAACCCAGGGGTTGGGGCTGCCCCGTGCTGCCACCCTGTGGGCAAGGACCGGCCGGGAGTCAGTGGGCCTTCAGCACCCACCGGGAGCTCACTCCCATCCCCTGGGGTGG